ACTAGTTAAAGGGAATAACAGCATATGAGGGGGCAGGGCTGCTGCATTCAGTCCTATGGGGTACACACCGCCCAATTCTGGGCACCAATCACATTTGTTGTCATTTTAGATTAATGTATTTCAAAGGATAATTTTCGGATGCAAGGGCCATCTGGCTGTGACATCTGTCACCCCATTGATTGCCAGGGTTGATTCGGTTGATCTGGCTGGCTAGGCGGGTGTCCCCTTTCTCCCTCCCAGATGCACGCGCGTCTCTCCTGATTCTGTGCGCTCGGTCGAAGGGGACGGATGGCCTTCCCAACTAGAGGAGAGGGCCAGTCTTCGGTCAAGTGTATACGAGTAACTGTGTCCCCCTGCTAGAGCCTCCAAACAAGCTCTCAAGGACCATTTGAATGGATTATTTTCTTGCAGACGGTAGCGAAACATCTGGAAGAAGGAGCTAACTTTTCTAATTTGCACAAGGTGTTTTTTGGATTAGGGATGGGCCTGATTGGAAACAAAGCTGTACATTAAATATGACTTTCCACAACCAAACAGGAATGAATACCTCCTTCTCGTGATAATTTTCTTCCTTCCTTTGGGGAGTAGCTCCTTCCTGATCCAAGTACGTGATTCTGGTGGGGCCGCCAACTGCAGGACCGCCACCCTGCTCCGGCCACAGAGATGGGTATGTCACCTAGGCCGGGCCAATCGTCTTGGCCGCAGTGGCTGGTCCCGAAGCTGGCTGTGTAACTGAAGAAGAGCCAGTCTTTGTCCTCCCAGGGATTTACATGTGTTGATACAAAAGAAGGTAACCCCTCTCTCCTCAGGGTCCTCTAAGTTTGTCTAAAGTCACTGGAGAAAATTTGAAGGTGCCTGGCTCTGCCTCCTACCCGCCTGGAGGAGGAGGGAGTGAGACCACCACACAGGCAGGAAGACACAAAGGAAAAAGGGACCTGAAGACACCTTTTGACTCCTGACCCAGTTAAACTACAGACCAGCTCCATCCCTGTCCTTCCCTATCACAGGAGCCAGAAAAACTCCCTTTTTCCTTAAGCCCGTTTAGATTGTTTCAGTCACCCACAAACAAAAGAATTCTGCAAAACAGAACCACCTTTCAGAAAATCCCACCCTGACTCACGGGAATTGGCCTTGCCACACCCTGTCCCATCCCCGAGCCTCGGCCTGAGCAGCCAGATTCTTCCCTGAGTCATTTGGTCGGGGTAACTTTCTGGGAGCTTCAGAAGGTGCTCCCCTGTGGTGGCTGGCACCCCCCTCTCAGGGAGCCAGGGTCGGAGGGCTCTGAAACAGCCCCACAGCTCTATTGTGGTGGGTGGGACCTCGAAACCCGGTCCTCATTACAAGGCTTCCCCACTGATGCGACCTATGTGTAAGTCCCCAAAAGTACCACCAGGGGCCTGTTGGACAAACCCCCCGCCGCGGCCCCCCATCTCATAAACATGACCATGATTTGCAAGAACAGCACCATCAGAGCCTCTAAATGAACAAACAAAAAGGAATTTTTTCACTGTTGTGTTTTCAAGGCTCCTTCACTCATGCCCACATAGTCATATAATTCTGCAAAGTGGCATTTAACTCCCTTCCCCCAGCCCTCATATTCCAGCTCCTTCCAGTTTGTGCCTCTTTAGGGACGGGGCCCAAGAGCAGGACGCAGAGCTGGGACGTCCCTCTGCTCAGCGCTTCTTCATTTGTACCAAAAAAAAAAAAAGCACTGACATTTCCACTTGAATCCTTAGAAAGGGGCCTTTTCTCTCCTTTTCTGTGGAAGGGAGGAGGGAGCTCATTTTTTCCTGTTCCATGGTCTTTAATGACTTCATATTCTCCCTTTGAATAAATTCCCTTTATTTTATATATATGTCCCCCTATTAATAAACATTGGGTAATGTTCAATTTACAACTCTTAAAAATAACACTGTGATGAGCACTTTTGATTAGAAATCTTTTTCCATGTTCAGCTTAGTCCCAGGAATAGATGTTACCAAGGCAACAGGGAGGACTTTGGGTGACCATTGTCTTAGGACACTAAAAACAAAAAACACCCAAAAAAAACCCAAAGACACAAACATGACAAAAAGTGAAAAGGAAATAGGTTGGAGTTCAATGACTCAAAGAAAATAATAGCAGGCTGGGCAATTGGCTAGAAACTCACCTCCTCCACGGTTGGATGATGTTAGATCTTCCATAAGCAAAATGGCTCTGGCAGATAAGTGGGTGGCCATTCCTTTCTTCAAATAGCAAATGCTTCCGTTTCCTTTGACAAAGAACTTTAATGGAATAGAAGCTAGGTCGTTTGTATCTCAGCCCTGTCTTCCAAAACACATGCTTCAGAGGGTTAACAGAGGGTTAACGCAGAGTCTTCCATTGGAGGGAGTGAACTAATCACCTCTTCCTGCCCGTGTCCCCCGTCACCTCCAGGCCGCTCTGGGTCCCAGTGGAAACAATGAGGGTGGTAGCCTCCCTACCTCCGGTTTGGTCTCCATTTGATTCGTTGACCACTAGACTCCTAGACAAAGTTTCTTCAATGTTTATTTTAGTATTTCGTTTTGCCCAATGTAAATTTAATTCTAGAGCTACTAGAATAGCTTTTGCCAGGAGTTTCCCACAGCCTGGGGACAGACAGGGAGAGAGGGGAGACTGCTGGCTTAGTGTGGATCCCCCCAAAGGCAGACCCTGAGACCAGGACTTGGGAGCACGCAGTCTATTTGGAAGGAGGTCCCCGAAAGCACTGTGGGGAGTGGAGGGGCGACAGGAAGAGGAGACAAGCCAATGAAGTGTGTGCTCATGAGCGGGCTGTTCGCTGGGGCAACTGGGGCACGAGGTTTATGGGGACCACTGAGAGTCTGTGGGGAGGACCCTGCAGAGTTGTCCCACTGAAGCCAGGAGGCTGGGGAGCTTACATTAACTCCTGTCCCTTAATGGTCTTGAGATGTCCTCAGGACTGCGTCCCTGTGGCCAGAAAATGCCCCCAGGTGGAGTGGCGGGGGGGTGGGGGGCAGGCCCAGACAGCAGCTCTATAGTTGCGTCTCTCTCTCTCTGTCTCAGTATCTTTCTCTCTCTCTCCCTCTCTCTCTCTCTCTCTCTCTCTGCAGACATGTATGGTACACATACGAGCGTGCACATATATACATGTGATTTTAAAATCAGAAATAAGACCTTACTATGCTTACTGATTGTTTTGTTCTTTTGGCCATCATTCCACATACGTAGATACATTCTATATCAAAATCGTAGGTGTCTGAATAGCATTCCATTGGGAAGATACATTTGTTCTTTCTAATCCTGGTTGACATAAACAAAGATGCGAGGAACCAGATGAATCTTCCTAAAACACAGCTGTGTGCGCGTCCTCACCCCTTATTTCCCTCCTGCTCCAAACCCACCACGAGCTCTCCATTACCCACGTGGTGAATCCTAAATTCCATAACTAGGCCTTTGAGCCTGACCTGCCTCCACCTGGGCTGCGGGCACTTTGCTCCATCCAGCTCCTCCAGCACAGCCAGACAGTTGGACCCACTGGATCGTCGAAGGCCCTAACTATTCCTGTGCCGGCACCTTTGCTCAGGCGGTGTCCCCAGCCTGGGCGCCCTCGCCCTCCCTCACTGCTCGGCCCCATCCTGAGGCCTCCGCCTTCCTCAGAACTCATCCCTCAGCAATCTAGTCCGCTCTTCATCCTCATCCCTCCTTGTGTCTCATCCATGAGGGACGTTTTCACTTCCCAACAGTGCAGCAGTGAACCAGCGAGGCTACACCACTGTGCCTCAGTGTTCAGGAGGGCGCCTTGCACACACAGGCACTTCCATGCGCAAGGTGGGTGGTGGTGAGCACAAGGGCCGGTTTTGTCTTTTTCCCCAGGTGAGGGTGGGGATAGGTAGGAAGATGCACCTGTGTCCTCCCACTCACGGGCCGTGACCGTGGTGCCGATCTCTGTTGATGGCTGTTGAAGCCCAAGGCGCACAAGGACAGCTAATGCACTGTCCACAGGCTCCCTCCCCTCAGACAGAGACAAAGGCTCAAAGAAGGACGTGGAAATGGTCTTTCTGATTTTAGACACCAGGACTGCCAGGAAGGTTGCTGAACAGAAGTGGAGGTGGGGGGAGGGCAGTTCCGGGGGTGCTAATCCCAGCTTCCTGTCCTGATTTTCCTTGACTGCTGCACAGGGCCTATCTTAGGATGTTCACAGCTACCGAAATAGATCTCTCCTCTCACCTGCTCTTAAGCAAAGAAGACCTTGATAACTTCTTGCCAGGGAATACTTGCTTTGGTCGCTTTTCCAGGATGAGGTACGTTAATGCGGCATCGCCGCTGAACCTGCCAGGCTTCTCCATTTCCGCCCAGTATGGAGCGAACAGTGAGGACAGGAGAGTGAGGAGTCAGAGGGCCAGCCCCCTGTTTCTGGCCAGGGCCCAGTCTTTTCCGTGAACTGGGTTGGTGTTTCCTTCCCTGGTCCCCAGAAACCACCCTTGGCCGGAAGGACTCCCCTCTGACTCGGAGTGGCAGACAGCAGACCCTCTGCCCTCCTCACGCACCTGCCCCTCCGCCCTGGCCTAATCCTACAGAATTCTCTGTTCCTGCTTAACTCATCGTCTTAGTCAATTGGGCTCTGGGACCTGAAAACAAAGTGTGTGAGGCAAGGGTCGGCCTCCCCACCGCTCACTCATTCACTTAACAAACACAGGCCCCCATCCCCGCCCCAGGCCTGGTACTGGGGGTGCGTGAGAGTCTGAGTGACAGCGAGGAATAAGGCGGATGCCCGGCTCCAGCGCGGGGGGCAGGGGCGGGGGGCGGGTGTGTGGAGGTGAACACCCGGGAGAAAAACGGGCCTCCTGGGGGGTGGGGTCCTAGGGACCCCATGTCCTGGGGATGGAGAGAAGAGAGCAGAAGGCAGCAACTTCGGGCAAACGCCCCAGGCAGCCGGAGCCGGTGGGGCGGGACCTGCGCTTGCCCAGGGAGAGACTTTAGCGTCGTGTTGCCAAGGTAACCCTGACTCGGGGAAGCCGGCTATGGCCTCCGGGACTGGAGGGAGCTGGGGTGATCGCCCACCGCAGGATGCAGCCCCGACGGTGAGGGCCGAGGCAGGGAGCAGAGCCTGCCTTTTCCGGGGAGGCCTGGGGGGCGATGGCGGAGTTGGGGAGCCGTCCCTGGGGCCGCAGGGGAGGGACGAGGGGGTTACGAACTCCGGAGGGAGCGGTGGGGGTGGAGGAGAGCGACCCCAGCCGGAAAGTGAGAGACTAGCAGGGAGTGGGGAGGCCGAGAGGGGCTACGAGAGGAGTTCGAGACCCCTGCGGGGTTAGGGAGCCAACTGGGTGGGACATGAGGGAAGAGGCTGGGCCCCCAATCCCTTCTCCGCTTAGTCTGGTTGAGTCACCCCCTCCCCCCAGCCCTGGGTGACCGTCCTGCAGCCCTTCTCATGGACCGTCCCACCGTCGCCCCCGCAGCCGCGCCACGTGAAGGAAGGTGAGACTGGGGGCCCCCTCCCGCCCCCTGTACCTCCCTCTACCCCCGCACATGCCTGGGTGTTGGTGTTACATCACCATCCTCTTATGCGTCCTGGGCCTGGGTGTCTGGGAAAAGGCCCTGGGGTCGGGGCAGACGGCTGGGGAGGGGGTGCCTGGCGCGCACACTGAACCCGCGCCCCTTAGACCTGCTGGAGCTGATGATGCTGCAGAACCTGCAGATGCACCAGCTGCTCCTGAGTCGCCAGGTGGCTGCAGCGCTCAACCCCTGGCCAGTCGGTTCTGGCCCGCAGGTGCGATGGTTGGGGGTGGGCCACTGGGGCCGCCCACCTGCAGATCCAGACGTGGGGACACATCCAGGGCATCTCCTTGAGAGGAAGGACCAGGCGAAAGAGGAGCAGGAAGCCAGCCTGCACCTATCTGGCTGGATCTGTTTGGCATCTATTATGTGCCAGGTTCTACAGAAGAGGTGGGGGTCTGGGGGTCCCTAAATCCAGGCCACTCAGGTCTCATTTTCAAGGAGGTGTCTCTGCAATGCGTCCCTCACTGGACTGCAGGCCCAGGAAGACAAGCGCCATTGTACCCTGGGTCTGCGTGGTGCCTGGGACTTATTAGGGGCTCCATTGACATTTGTCAAATAAGTAAATGAATAAATAAGTGACTACAAATACAAGGCCAGTTTGGCTGTGGCTGGCACAGGCGCGCTACCCTGCCTGTGTGCTCACCTGGTTGGGGGATGAGGAAAGACTCCTTGGAGGAGCAGGTGTCCTCAGAACCAGCCCTTGAAAGCCGGGTGGGATTTTGATGATTGGAGGTGAGGGGCGTGTCTGCCAGCCAAGCCCTCAGGGGCCCTGGGGCAGGCCAGGCGCAGCTTGCTGGGCTTCCGCTGGGCTCTGGAGGCACACCAGCATCCTTCCAGTCCCTGCTTGGCCTTTTATTACCTGGGTGACCTAAGACAAGTTGCTCAACCTCTTTGAGCCTCAGTTTTCCCACCTGCAAAATAAGGGATCAATGTCTCCGAAGCGTCTTGCTTGCATGTAGTAAATACCAATCACCGAGAGCCATTTGATGATACATATCTGGAGAAATGATTCTGAGGAACGGAGGAGTGGGAGTGGGGAGAGCCTGACCCTGTATCACCATCTCCCCTCCGCTTTCGCACAACCCCCAGGTCTACCTGGAGGTTCCGAAAGAGGAGGTTGAGGAAGAGGAGCTGGAAGCCCCAGAGGAAGGGCCTTTGGTGCTCCATCACCACTACCTGCCCTGGCTGACTCCGGCTCTGGGGCCTTTCCTATCCCCTCCCCTCCCTCAGCCCCACCTGCAGGACATGCCCAGGATTCAGCGGCTCTCTCTGGCCTCCAAGAAAAGGCGGGTGTAAGTGAAAAGGCGGGTGTAAGTGAGGGGGAGGTGTGTGCGTGGCTGGGGCTCCGCCTTGGTTGGGCTGGGAGAGCTGTCTTGGGGCTGGGGCTGAGATCCTTGTTGATGAAACCCCAGAGCCACTTCTGATGCGGGTGTTTTTTTATCCTCATCTTAGGAGAGCTGTGCCCCCACCTCCACCCCCCAGTGCCACGGGGACTGTGGGTGCAGATGTGCCCCCGGCTTCAGGTAGGGGCAGGGTGGGTCGGCAGTGGGGTCCAGGCCTAAGGATTGCTCAGGACGGGAGGGTCATATTCCTCTGAGAGGGGACTACTAGTGTCACTGCTGCAGGCAACTGGCCTGTCCCCTTCCCTTTCCCTCCTTGGGGTCCACAGAGGCAGGAGGGAGTCAAGATAAGGGTGCTGTCCTCCCTCCTGCCCCCAGATTACTATGATGCTGAAAGCCTGCTATGAAGACGGACACTGGCCCCGGCACCTGCACCAGCGGCAACAACCCTGGATACCCAAGTGCCCCCTCTAGTGCTTGAAGCCACGCCTGGCAGCCCTTCTCCAGCCTCAACCCCAACCGGGGCATCCCCTCCCAGCTGAATTATCCTCCTCTCCATCCCACTAAGATCCTGAACCAGCCTGATCTCGTCTCTGGAGTTAGAGCTCATTGGAGCACCGTTCAAGGCCCAGGGGCCACATGAAAACCCAGCGCTGCTCTACAGTTTCCTGCGCGAGTTAGGGGGCGGCTGGGAACCAGAGCTCCCCCTAACCCTCCATCCCCCTCCACCCCAGAAGGCCAGGGCCACAGCCTCTCTGTCTGGCCTAATAATGGAGCAGGAGGTGAGAAGAGAAGACTGCTTTTGTTGTCCACAGCTCTCTAAAGGCCATGTGACATGTGGGAGAGTCCTGGCTGGGAGGGTCCTAGAGCAGAGCCGTTTCCTTTGGGGCCCCCACCCTCACCCCAGCTTCCTGTTGGCCATGTTCTGGTCCAACTGGGAGTGGCCTGAGTTCCTGGAGGGCCACGCAGGAAAAGAGCGTCTCGGCCCCACCAGGCCAGGGCGCATCGTTCCAGCTCTCCCTCAGGTGGAATTTGTTCCTCGGCGACCGACGGGGTTGGGTGTCTGGTGCCTGGACTGGTCCGTATGGGGGTGCGCCAGGGCCTGGGCCGGCCAGGAAGGCCCCTGTGAAGAAGAGGGTGGAGGGACCCTGAGCAGACATCTGGGAACAGAAGTCTGGATCTTGTGAGTGACCTTCCTGGACGTTGGATATTCTCCCAGGAGGAGACATTGAGGCACAGGGTTAAGTCCGGGCACTTGTATTCAAACTAGAAAAGGAAATGTCCCCCAAATCCTCTGCTGCTTGTCTGGGGCTGGACCACACCCTAAGGAGCCACAACGAGTCCCAGTAGCTGGGGCGGTGGCGGCCGTGCCCCTTGCGTAGGCTATGCCCGGTAGGCCCGTCTCAGCCTCCTCCAAGCTGCTTGCACCCCGTAGCTGCCTCTTCGCCTCTGGTGCCACTGCTGGCCGAAGACAAAGCACAGCAGGATGGATGTCACAAACAAAAACAGCAGCACTGACACAACCGCCATGATGATGACCATCTGCTTGTCCGGCTTGGGATCTAGGGAAGAAGGGGGCAGTGGTCTTAGAAGTCCTCTGGTCCAAGGTACCCAGGGGCTAAGGGGGAGCGGAGAGCCGCCCACCACCCACCCATCCCCTCATCCATCCTGCAGTCACCCTGTGCTACAGATGGGTGGCAAATGGTGTACTAACTAGGGGAAAGGTAAGCTGAGGTCCAGGCCACCAGTGAGGCTGTGAGGGCAGATGCTCTCCCCGACATCAGCCCCTGGCACCAGCACGTGGTCTGTGGACACTGCGGCCTGGACAGTGGTGTGGTCCAGGCCAACACCTCACTGGACAGAGCTGAGAGTTTCCCCCAAACTCTCTGAAGACAGGGAACATCTGGGCCATCAAGAGTCACAGAACAGTGAAGCTCTAGCAGACCTTAGAGGTCAGTCAGGTCTAACTTTTCATTGTAGAGAGGAGCCAAAGCCAGAGAAAGGTTGACTTGGCCAAGGTCACACAGTTCACTAATGGCCAAACAACGACTCCAAGTCCACACTGGGGACTTGGAGGGAGCTTCAGGGAGGAGGGAGCATAAGAGGGAACCCTCAGGACTAGGTGTGGGGTTGTCGGGTGCCTATCCCTCTGAGCTGGCAGAGAGTAGGCGAAGGTTTTGATTTCCTGAGGGCCTAAAGTGAGTCCCCCGTCCTTCCCGCCCTCCGTCCTGGGGGTTCCCCCTCACCATAGATCTTGATGCTCTGGGGCTTTGATGCTTTGACAATGATGTCCCCGCCATCAGACCGCAGGTCCAGCTCGGCCTGGCAGGAGAAGTTGTGGTGGCCGTGTTCCCTGCGAGCTGTGTCATTGTATGTGAATGCAGCTTCCTGCGGGGCAGCCATTGCCCTCACGAAGGTCTGCCTGTGCAGGGGCGTCGTGCCGTGGAGCAGGGTGAGGGTGAAGTTCTCAATGGGCTCCACAGCAGGTACCCTGCACTTAATCGTGAAGATTCCACCCACGGTCACCCAAGTGGGCTGCACCATCAGCAGCACTTCCTTCGGAGGGTCTGCAGGGAAGACCGTGGGGAGGTCGGGTTAGGATGGGGTGTAGTCCCAGTGAGCCCACCGGGCCAAGAGCATCCCCTATCACACTGTGCTCTCAGGTCCCTGGCTGGACCTGAGGAGGAGGACGTTGGCGGGGGCCTGATCTGCTCTAGAGTGTAAAGAGAGGAAGAACGAAGCAGTTTAGGGTGAAGGGTACGCTGGGTGGTAGTTCTAGGAACATGATGGTTTCTGGAATAGAGAAGGATGGAGGTGGTCCGCTGTCTTACAAAGAGAGGGTCCAGAAACTGTGCGGCTGACCAGAAAGACATAACTGTTTGCATCTGTCTGTGTTCTCCCTGGAAATTAAGAACTAATTTTGAGAATTAAACAGTTGGATAGTTATGTGCAGAGAGACTTAGAAGGGAGATGTCATTGAAACTGGGCCGTGAACTGTGAGGTTCTCACTTAAGAGGTGGGGGCCAAAGTCAGACCTGCCTTGGCTCTCTAGGGTCAGGTTGACGGCCACCTTGATCCCTTATCAAACAGAGCCCTTGGTGTGGCCTGGATTTCCCTTTGAACCAGAATACCTCGTCCCCATGACCCCAGGATGATATGTTGGAGTTAGGACACCTTTCTGTTCTTTGGATCCCTGGATGTCAGAAATGGGGAGGACCCAAGTGACATCCTTAGTGCCGAGATGTTGAGAATCCTGTTCTATCAGAAGGTCTCCATAGCTCACGAGCAGATTGTGTAAGGGTCCCACATTTGCCGAGGGCCCTCAGGGGAAGGTAAAAGCCCCTGGTGACTGGGTGGGCTGATGGGGACCCCGGAGAGCATGCAGCCCTCCCGGCAGTGCTGCCACTGCTCGTCATGGGAGGTGGGGTGTTCCAGGGATGGGGCTGCCCCTGGGCTGGGAGGAGGCTGGGAGCGCTGCACGGGAAAGGGCTGTTAGCTTTGTAGAGCTCTTGCCTGGGGCACCCCCTCCGAGCAAGCCTCAACCCGGTCCTCCAGGAGGCTCCAGGAGGCCAGCAAAGGGTGTGAGCAGACTCTGAGCCCATGGCCTGTGTTTGGCTCCTTGTCACCCCAGGAGCCCAGGAAGGTGGGGGCCATGACAGGTGTGGCCAGGAGTAGGAGCACTCAGTGCACACAGGCTCTGCCCAGGGGAAGGACGGCCCTGCCGAGAGAGAGCGAGAAGCACTCACAAAACACAGTGATGTCGGAGCGCACTGACTCCTGCTTCCCAGAGCAGGTGAAGTGGCACAGCACAAACGTGTCCTGGGAGACATCAGAGACCCTGTACTGCTTCCACTGAGTTTGTTCGTTCAGCAGAGTCTTGTTGAGGTTGGTCTCCACACCACCCTTGTCAGGCTGCGGACAGTTAGTACTGCAGTTGATCACCTGGGACCCTCCGAACTCCACCATCAGCTGCTCTGGCCACATCTTTACCTCGAACACCTCAGCAGACCCTGGAAGACCAGAAACCAGATGTCCCTGCCGTTCTGCCTAGGGGAGCTGCCCACCACTGGCAGTCTGATCAAGGGGCTCCTTCTGCTCCTTGACCCTTGACCCTCGTTCACGCCTTGCTCAGGCCTTGCTCAGACCGAGGAGGCAGCCCCTGGGCTGTCTCCCTGCCCCTGGTTGCCCTTCCTCCAGCCCATCACCTCCAGATTAGTCTTCCTCAGGTACGTCTTCTAGCTCTGTGGAGAAGGATCCTATTTGACCTTCAAGACCCAGCCCTAATGTGCCCTCCTCCATGAAGGCCTCTCTGAGAAGGAGGTGGACTCTGTCTCCTGAGCCCCTGCGGCCCAGGGTTCAACCCCTCCCTTCCTCCCTCCTTTCCTGTCTTCCTCAAATACTTTTTGAACACCTGCTATGTGCCAGGTACTATTCTCGGCTCTGCAGGAGTGAACGAAGCAGACCAAACCCTGCCTTTGCAAAGACTCACATTCTAGTGAAGGAAACAGACAATAATAAACTATCCAGCCCATACAAGTGCCTGGGAAAGGGAACAGAAAGTGGGGTGGGGCGGCCATTTCAGCACAGGCCTCCCTGAAGTAACAACATTTGAGCAAAGACATGAGGGAGGTGGGGGTGAGCCTGCAGGTATCTGGGGGAGAGGGCTCTGGGGAGAGGCAACTGCCAGCTCGGCGCCCCGGGCTGGGAGTGTGCTTGGCGTGTGGGAGGAACAGTGGGGTGTTCAGGGTGTTCGAGCTCAGTGAGGAAAAAGGCAGGGGAAGAGGAGGTCACAAAGGAAATGGGACCACCTGGCCAATGACCCATTGTACCAGTGATTCATATTCGAGTTGACTCTCCCTTAACTGTTTTGGAGCCTCTAGAAGACAGGACCCTATTTACCATTGTGCTTAGCCCAGTGCTCTATGTGTGACAGACTCAGGCAGTATTTAATGCATGAAGGCTGAGTCTTCAGCACTCACCTCTCTCTCAGCAATGATCAGGAAGGTCCTCGATCCGACCAGCTGGGCCCAGCCTGTGTCCTGTGCTAGTGCCACACCTACATGCCTCCACTCAGCCCTCAGATCCTGCTATATAATGAAGTGGCAAAAGGGGGGCTTTGCAGGTAAGCAGAGCTGGATTTGAATCTTGAGTTCACTATGCATGAGCTATGTGGCCTCAGACAAGGTGCCTTTTCTCTCTGAACCTCAGTTTCTTCATCTGTAAAATGGGCTAGTAATTCCTTTCCCAAAGTTGTTGTGAAGGTTCAATGCAATAGCACTTTAAAAGCACCTGGCAGGTTATCCAAAACAGAGTGTTCGGCACATAGTGGCAATTTCCCTCTCAGTCCCCTTGACCCACTAGAAGAGGTTTCACTTTCGTTTTGAGAACAGCCAGAAGGCGAGGCCCTATACTGCCCCCTCCCTCCCCTAGGCCACATCTGAAGATCAGCCGGGGCATGCCCTTATCTTCTCTTGAACCCCAGCATCACTTCACCCCCATAAGACTGTCTCCGGCCCACCATCTAGCCTCCATGACCTGTCACATCCACACGCCATGAAGCTGTGGGACTGTTCAACCTGGTGTCCAAAAGGCCAGGACCCCGACCTGATGTCTGGGCCATAGGGAAGCCAGGTTGCCACGGCATCCTGTACCCATTGCAGGCGACCCCTGTGTTCGAAACCTCAGAGACTGCAGGGTCAGCACCACCCTCCCCTCAATCTAAAGCCGGGGGAGTGGGCAGCCCACCTTCCGGGCTAGCACGTGCCAAGTCAGGAACCCCAGGCACTGGCTCACCTGGGCAGAAGAGCAGGGCAAGAAGGGCCACAGGCAGGCCCCAGCAATCAGAAGAAGACATCTCAATGTGCAGAACAGCCAGTAGACTGCAAAGAAACAGAGCGTACAGGTTAGGGAGTGGTGGCCTAACGTTGAAGTCCCTGTACCTCAGCCTTTTGTGAGGTGGTGTGTTGGGAAACGCCCTGTCTGGTTTCAGGAACTACAACACTGCCAACAGGCGGGAGGGCCCCAAGGCTGGAAATAATCAAGGAGGGCTTGGACAAACAGGCCCCTGAGGAGACATAACCTGTGCCCCCTGGCAGGGGCATAGCCCCTGCCTCCCTGCTTGGCCCTGTGATGGTCGCTTGTTGATGATGGGTAAGACCCCTTGATGGAAGGGACAACATAAACCAGACATTGGCTGGTGTGGGCGGCAGACGAAGAATTGGGGGACACGGAGAAAGGGCAAAAAGGCCCGCACCCCTGGGCTCGGCTCGGACATGGCCGGAGTCCTCATTCTATCTGAAAGAAGTCTCCTTGTCTCTTGGCGGCTCCCTTCCCACGCCTGGCTCAGGCTCGAAACAATACTGGAGTTAGTCCTAAACCAGATCTGGTGGTTCCCAGGGAAATCGGGCCTAAAAGTAAATTCTTTAAAGTGTGCTTTGTTTTTCCCTGAGAAGCTATAGCCAGCTCTTGCTGGGAAGGAAATTTACATTATTCACAGACCCTAACCCTATACGCTTGGGCACTCTTGTGTTTACTACGTTCTCATGTTTAGGCATCTCTCTTGTTTACTAGTCTCCTCTCAGATCCCTGTGAATCAGTGTGTTCCTGCCATTTGTTTTCTTCAAAACATGACCTATTCTCTGTGAACGTTAGCGTGCGGATGTAATGAGATCACCTGTGCATTCCTGTTACCTGGCCCCGCTGATCACCCTTTCAATAAAAATCTTTGAACAAAGGGACGAAGCCTTCCCCACTAGGGGCATGTGCCATGTCCCCTCCCCTGGCAGACAGAGAAGGGTCTGAGACAACAGTGTTTACTCCCTCCATCCGTGACATGCCCGGAACGGGCTCTGCAGGATTCAGAGTCTCCGGCCCCACCTCAGCTGGCCCCTGACAGTAACCCTCAGATCCCGGAGCGCTGCGCCCCCAGTGATGCGCTCTGTCCCCCCACAGCAGTTGTGGCCCAGGTCAGGGAACTAGGGCTGAGGCGGTGCTCCCCCACGCCCTATACAGCATTTCCTCTTATTATCTGAGCGGCCCTTGGGAAGCCATGTGGGAGGCAACCCGGCTCCAGGCTTGCAAAATCCAGGCAAAGGAAGCTGGAAACTGCTGATAAGCAAGGGCACAGCCTGATCCTTGGCCGTGCTCCCGCGAGGACAGGGCGCTGATAAAGCGCTCACGTGCTTGTATGTGAGTGACATGCATGCACGTAGGGTTCGGGTGCACCGTGTGTGGACATAGGAGACAGGAATGACTACCGTCCCCGGATCCGGGGAACCCCAAACCTCCCACAACACATTGTTGAGTTCCTCTCTAGGGAGAAAATATCTGAAGCCAGGACCTGTCCAGGAGACAGAATCGCCACAGCAAAGCAGATACAGAGCTGGGATTTTCTAGGGAAACATGAGTGGGAATTGGAGGTGCTCCAGCTAACAGCTGAGTACAAATCTACTTAAACCTTAACACCAGCATAGCTTTTGTCATCCACCTATCTGTGACTCAGCTGATAAAAGGACACTTTGAGGCCCAGAGCCTCAGGAAATGTTCCCACAATAGTCCCCACAGTCAGAGGTAATGGGAACCAGTCTGGCTGGAGCCCAAATCCTCAGCCTCCATTTTCAAAGCTGGTTCATGGGGGTTGGAGGGGTCCTACCCTCCCACTCCAGGTAGGGAGCCTTGGCCTGAGGGTTTAGGGCCTGACAAGTTGCGGTTTCTAGGAGGCTTTGTTGCTGGTTGCAGGGATCCTCAGGAGCAGCGAGCAGGTAAGAGGGGGGTTCTGTTCGTGGGGTGGGTCTTGCCAGGAGACTTTTGCCCCTGACACATCCAGCCTTCTGTTGCCTCAGTTCTGGCTGGGAGGCCCTGGGACCACCTAGCCTAGGAGAGGCAGCAGCGGGGTAGGCCTTCTTGCTTTCTCAGAGGCACCGCAGTTGGGAGAGCCCAGAATTTTCAGGGCTTAGGCCGAACCTCGTTGCTGGGTTGGGAGGGTGGGGTGAGGTCATGCCCTTCTCTTGGCTGCCGGGGGGCCAAAGGCTGTTATCATTGTGTAGTCATCAAGTGCTGCCCTTGTCACCTGGGACCCAGGTAGCCCAGGACAGGCTGCTGGGCCTCGGAGTGATACAGAGAGAAGATGGAGAAGAGAGTGGAACCAAACCCCGGCGTAGGGATCTGCGCCCATGTGCGGCTGCAGGAAATGCTCCTCTAACCCAAGCTAGAGGCTGAGGGGCAGCCCCAGGGGCTCAGGTAGTGGGCCCTGCTGTGTGGCACCTCTGTGGCCTCCAATGGGCCTGAATAATAATAACAGTAATAATAGTAATAATAAAAACAATAGCTACAAAAATAATAACAACAATAATACAATAGTGAACATCTCCTTACTACAGGTCACAAGCAGTCTACAAATATTAACTAATTAACCCCCCTCAATTCTACGAGGTAGGTACTGTTACTTCCTCATCTTAGAGACGGGGAAACTGAGTCACAGGGCAATTTGAGTGATTTGCCCAAAGTCACCCACTTAGGAGAGAGTGAATGAACATAATGAGCGAGAGGCAGCCTGGAGACTGCAGAAAGCCACCAGAGCAGGGGCAAGAGAAGGATTCTTAGGGGATGATTCCCAGGAGACCCTTGAAAGGGAAATGGAAGGCAACAGAAGGCCACAGAAATTGCTGGGGCCCTCCTTGCCATGAGAGCTTTGGGAAAGGTGGGTTGGTTCCTGTGTGGAGAGCTCCAATTTCTAGAAGGGACAGTGCCCATGAACCCCAGCTACACACACACCTAGGCCAGCCTGACTCCATACTCAGGGACCCTAGTGGGGCTTCTGTAGCCCACAGGTCCTGCCCTGAGCCCACCAGCCATGATCCTGCCCACCCACTCCTGCTTTGATCTCTCTCTCATGCCCCGCCCTGGTGAATTCCTAAGGCTCTGCCCACTCCAACATAACAGGCACACTGAGACAAAGAAATATGGCCCAAATGAAAGAACAGATCAAAGCTCCAAAAATAGAACCAAGTGATGAACAGATAGCCAACCTATCAGATGCAGAGTTCAAAACACTGGTAATCAGGATGCTCACAAAAACGGTCGAGTATGGTCGCAAAATGGAGGGAAAAATGAAGGCTATGCAAAGGAAAACAAATAAAAATATACAGGGAACCAACAGTAAAGGGAAGGAAACTGGGACTCAAATCAACGATTGGGAGAAGGAAGAGATAAACATTCAACCAGAACAGAATGAAGAAACAGGAGTTCAAAAAAATGAGGAGAGGCTTAGGAACTGCTGAGACAATTTTAAATGTTCCAACATCCAAATCATAGTGGTGCCAGAAGGAGAAGAGGAAGAGCAAGAAATCAAAAACTTATTTGAAAAAATAATGAAGGAGAACTTCCCCAATCTGGCAAAGGAAATAAACTTCCACGAAGTCCAGGAAGCTCAGAGAGTCCCAAAGAAGCTGGACCCAAGGAAGCACACACCAAGGCACATCATAATTACATTACCCAAGATTAAAGATAAGGAGAGAATCTTAAAAGCAGCAAGAGAAAAGGAGACAGTTACCTGCAAAGGAGTTCCCACAAGATTATCAGCTGATTTTGCAAAAGAAACCTTGCAGGTAAGAAGGGGCTGGCAAGAAGTCTTCAAAGTCATGAAAGGCAAGGACATACATCCAAGATGACTCTATCCAGCAAAGCTAGCATTTAGAATGGAAGGGCAGATAAAGTGCTTTCCAGATAAGGTCAAGTTAAAGGAGTTCATCATCACCAAGCCCTTATTATAAGAAAAGTTTAAGGGACTTATGTAAGATAAAGAAGATCAAAAACTCTGAATGGTAAAATGACAACAAACTCACAACTATCAACAACTGAACCTAAGAAAAACAAAAACAAAAGCAAACTAAGCAACACCTAGAACAAAAACAAAATCATAGAAATGGAGATCAGTGGGGAGGGGGAGGCAGAAGAATGGGGGAAAAGGTACAGGAAATAAGCAGAATAAATAGTAGGTGTAAAATAGGAGGTTAAGAATAGTATAGGAAATGGAGAAGCGAAAGAATTTATATGTATGACCCATGGACATGAACTAAGGGGGGATGGGTGCTGGGGGATAGATTGCAGGGTGGAGGGGAATAAAGGAGAGAAGAAAAGGAAATTAAAAAAAAAAAAAGGAAATCACCCAGGACACAGAAGACATAAAGAAAATCACCACTCAGAGGATGAAAGGATGTGAGGGAAACTGCCGGATTTCAGCTTTTATCTGATTGACCTCTTTCCTGAATTCCAGACCTCTTACCTGCACTTTTACCCCCTTATAAGAGTCTGGCTTGAAAGGAAATGTAAGACAGTCTGCCATCTTCTCAGATCGCGGGCCATCTGAATAAAGCGCCCATAAAGATTCAGTCCCTGTCTCTGCTTATTCCGGTAGAAGACAGGCAGCAGGAAAGCCGGCGTTTCCGGTTTCAGGACCATGGTGAAATAAAGATACTGATAGACAAAGATTAAGAGAATTTATTCCCAAGATGCCTACCCTAAAGGACTATGAAAGACAGGTGTCAGATAGAGTTCAAAATGATCACAGGACACTTTTCTATGCAAGAAGGAAGGATGAAAAAGTAAAATGGCAAGTGAGTATGTAACTCCCAACAATCATTGTCTGCAATAATGTTTATTTGAGAAGTTTCTGAAAGTTCAGAACTAAAATACTGCGCAATCATATGTGAAGGGATCATGGTTAAAGCATTCTAGATGTCCGTGTGGTATAGAAAGGAAGGTGCATTTTAAGTTATATGAGCATGGTAAAATTTCAAGGAAAATTAGGAGAGAGTTTATAAGTTCTAAACCACTAGAGAGAATTAAAATGGTATGAAAACAAACAACCTTTTGCCAATCAAGAAAAAAAAAATGAGGACAAAAGCATAGAAAAAGTGGGACAAATGTAAATTTTTAAAAAGATTCTATTAAAAAGTCCAAATTTCTTAATAATCACAATAAAGATAAAAATTTTAGCTACAGTTAAAAGAGACTGTCCTATTTTCTTTTAATCCTCACTCTGTGTTAATCTGCGACCGTCCGATGTCTGGGTTCAATGCAGAAAGAAGGCCTCGTATTCATACATCAGTCACAGCAGAACTGCTGGGAGAAGAGGAACAGAGCTTGGGCCTATGATCTTGACAAATCCTGCGATTCAGGCCGGTTCCCTTGGAAACCCCAACATTGGATGTGACTAGCAAACGGGCAAGACCTGGACCTTAATTCTCTCTGACACCCCGCTACCTGCTGTCCTGACACACAGCTCGACAGGAAATCACCTGGCTTACTCTGCTCCTGAAGGGAGGCAGGAAGGGAGGGATTTTCCAAGTCGGAAAAAGTTTGGGAAGTGGCAGCTGGAAGCGCTCCCCTTTCTTTCCCCCTCTCCTCCCCGGGTTTAGATTTGTGGTGATGTACACTGTCCCCAGAGTACTTTTCTGTACCTTTTCTCAGCAAAACATGACTTCGGGTTACTAAGAGAAGGAGGAAGGAGAAAGGAAACTAACATTTAGCTGATATTTATTCTTTGCTAGGGACTAAGCTAAAGGTTTTAATACATTATTCTATATAATTCCCACACCAAACTACAAAAGTAAAGAGCCATTCCAACTGTGCGCCTGAGAAAAGAGCGGCTCGGGTGTGTCCGGTCCCAGAGATCAGGCGAAACAGCGGAGACGAAAACGGGGATGGTAGGGGGTGGGCAGCTGATGGCATTGCCCAGGTTTGGGGCGGAGGCGGAGGGATGAGTGGGTGGAACGGCATTTTTTGGGTAGTGAAAATACTCAATGTGATACTTGAAAGGTGGCTATATGTCATTATACATTTGCCCAAACTCACAGAATGTACACTAAGAGTGAACACTAATGTAAACTAGGGACTTTGGGTGACAATGACGTGCCACGGTGGGTTCGTTGAATGTAAAAAATGCACCACTCTGCGGAGGGATGTTGACAATGGGGAGGCTGTAAATATGCGGGGAGAGGGGATACGTGGGAAATCTCTGTACCTTCCCCTCTGTATTGTTGTGAACATAAAACTGCTCTTAAAAAATAAAGTCTATTACAAAAGTTTAAACTTTCTTGTAGTTCAAAGACTACCTCAGAAGAGAATCTTCCGGGTTAGGGTTCTTGCCAACTATGGATTGTTGCTGAAATGAAGGCTTTTAAATTCAATGTTTAGTTAGCAGGGGTTAGCAAAAGCCATAGACTTGATCATTTCTAATTTCTCATCTCAGTTTAGATTTTAAAAATATTAAAACACAAAACCCAGTTCTGTGTTGTTTATGAGACACACCAAACACTTGAGCATGGAATGACTGAAATTCAAAGGATGAAAAAAAGATACACCAGGCAAACAGTAACCAGGAGAAAGCCAGGAAAACTATTGGTATCGGACTTAGAGGACTTGTAAGATAAAAACATTTATTAGGAATAGCGTAAGTGCCTAAATGAAAAGATCAGTTCACCAGGAAATTATAGTAGTTCTAAACTTGTAGGCATCTAGCTTGAAGAAAAGAAAGAAAAACTACAAAGAAAAGAAACCACCTTCATCACAAGCAATTTTAATACATTTCTTTCAGTGATGAATAATGAAGCAGGCAAAAAAAAATCAGGAAATGAATAGAAGAGCTGAAACACACAGTTTAAAAGTTTGATATGTATCTATAAATTAGAAAATACAATTTTTTCAAAAAGAAAAGTTTTAAAATTACATATATTTGGTAATGTAAAAATAGGCCCTAAATAATCCATGGGTCAAAGAAAAAAAATAACAACACATTTTAAAATTTATAGAATTGAATGGTAATGAAAAAACAATATATTAAAATGCATTGGGTGCATCAAACATGGTACTTAGAGGGAAATTTATAGCCTTAAATGCTTGTATTAGGAAAAAAAAAAGTCTGAAATAAGTATCCAATTTAACTAAGTAGTCAGGAAGTTATAAAAAGAAAAACGAAGGAAACCTAAAGGTGACACAAAAGGGAATGAAGAGGAGAAATCAAAGCAACAAAGCAAAGTAAACCCAAGAGTAAACTCAAAGAGAATAATAATAAGCAGAAATCAGTAACAGGAAACAAAATAGACAGGATAGATAAAGCCAAAAGTTAGTCCTTGCAAAAACAAATAGAATGGGCAAATCTCTGGTAAAGAAAATCTTTTCATAAACAAAAGGAAGCACAAGTAAACATTATTAGGAATGAAAACTAGAACATTACAATATTAAAAAGAAGGCCTAACAAATTCACAGAAAGAGAAAATAGACCAGCTGTTGCTGTGTGCTATTGAGGGGGGTGGGGGAGTGAGGAATTGTTTAAGAGGTTGAGTTTCCGTTTTGTATAAGACTCCAGGGGTTGGTTTCAAAACAACAGTTTGTACTTACCACAATCAACTATTGCTATCAGACAAAGAGGGCTTTTAGGACAAAGATATTTATTAGGGATAGAATGAGTACCTAAATTTAAGGGTCAGTTCACCAGGAAGCTTTAGTAGTTCTAAAATTACAAGGATCTATCTTGAAAAAATATGAAGAGATAAAACCACCAGCATAGCAAGACATTTTAACACACATCTCTTAACTCTGATTAATGAAGCTGACAAAAACATGGTTAAGACGGTACATTTTGTGTTATGTGTATTTTACCACAATTAAAAATAAATATTACTATACATAATATATGCCAAGAAACATGAAACAAAGTAGACCAAATATTAGAAAAATATAATGAAACTTGATTTAAGAAAAAACTAAAGCCCACATGATTCTATAACTATTAAAAAATTGAATCAGTAATTTTAAAACTTCCCACAGAGAACATACCTGGTCCAGATAGTTTTACAGAAGTTTAAGTAGAGATAATTCTACTTTTATAAATCCTCTTTCTGAAAATGGAAAAATCAGGAACACTAACTCTGTGAGACCAGTATAACCTTCATACAAAAATGAGACAGGTACAGAATGAAAGAAAAATCAGAAGTCAATCTCACTCACAAATACAGATGCAATGATTAGAAAAAAAACAAAACTAGCAAACCGAATCTAGCAATGTATAAAAATACGACACCCCATCCAAGTGCCGCTTATCTTAGGTATGCAAAGTTGGTTAACAATAGGAGAGAAACGTTCACATATGGTTTATTACCTTGGTAAGAGTAAGCATTGGTGTTCTATGTCACATCACTTCTGCCTCTTCTGATACCAGCTGCAGTCACAGTGGATAATTCTGTGCAAGCTTAGACTCACCTTATGTTGCCAATGTCCCACCTCGAGTTTACACCATGTTTCTCTTTGTTTTTTGCCTCAGGTCTTCTTTAACGCTGAAGAAACCGCTTATCGCCTGCTAGTATTTCTCAGGGGCAGGGGAAAATTAAGTTCTGTAATTTGCGAGCCTATACCAGGGAGGGGCAGGATCTGGGGGAGGCGTGTTCCAGCTTCCTTCTTTCCCAAGGGCAATTGTGGGCGGCAGCTCAGAGGCTTCTGAGAGGTCCCAACAGAACTGAGCTCCCTTGGCCTATAGCTGCATCATGAGTCCTGCACCTTTAAACGGGCTTGTCCTCTTTCCCTGTTTCAGCCTTCCAGCTCCTTCACTCCCTGCTTCCTCGAATCACTTCTCAAATAACCTGCCTGAAACTTCATCCTTGGTCCAGGCTCTGATTTTGAAGGAACCCAAACTAAACACTAATGTGAACAGATTTAAGAAGAGAAAATATATAAACTGAAAAACGATTTATAATAGGAAAAACAGGAATAAATCTAGCAAAACATGTATAAGACCTATAGTAACAAGTTATAAAACCTTATTGAAAGACATTAAATACAATCTAAATAAATGGAGAGATAGTCCGTGTTAATGGCTAAGATAGGAGGTTCAATGCCATAAAGATATCAATTCTCCCCAGCTAATAGACAGATTCAGTGCAATTCCAATTAATCTCAATTTTTCATGAAAATTGAAAGCTGATTTTTATAACTTATATGGAAGAGCAAAAGGGCCAAAATACCCCTAAACAATATAAAGGTAAGGGGATTTGTTCTATTAGATATTAAGGCATTATAAAACACAGTGTTAGTGTAGATGTAGGCAAATTAACCAGTGGAAGAAAATAAAGAGCCCAGCAATACCATGTACAAAACTACGTGGAGAAAAATGTGGGAAAACATATTCCTACTTCACATCAAATGTAGAAATCAATTCCATCTAGATTAAAGACGTGTGAAAGAACACTTTAAAAACTTCTATAAGGAAACGTAGTAAAATATTTTTATGTCCTCAGGGCAGGGAAGGATTTCTTAAGCAAGACCTCCAAAACACCCATCGTAAAATAAACAACCTCCAACTTTGATTACATTAAAGACATAGTTAAAATTTCAGAGAAAAGGAAACAAATGTAAACAAGTAAAAAAGAAGCTTTAACTCAATAGTAGCCAGAAAAATTAAAATTAAAACCACGGTGGATACCATTTTATGTCTACTGGACAAACAAAAGCTCAAGAATCTAACAAGAACCAAATGATGGAGAGGTTGTAGGGCAATAGAGACGGTTATAATTGCTGGTAAGAGGATATATTAGTCCTCTGGGAAGTTATCAGCCATTATCTTGTAAAGTTGAATATTCTTATACCCCACTACCCACAATTCCACTCTCAGATACATGCTCTAGAGAAACTTTTGCACTAAGAGCCATGAGTCATGTCCCATGCTTACCTCTTGCTATTTGTGTGACTTTGACCAAGTCACTTATCAGTTTCCTCTTCTGTAAAATGGGATTAATAATAGTACCTTTCTCATAAGGTTGTTGTGTGGACTAAACAAATTAAATGAGTTAACATCTCTTTGTAATTAAAGATTTTGTTTATTTTTCAGAGAGAGAGGAAGGGAGGGAAAAAAGGAGCGAGAAAAACATCAATCAGTTGCCTCTCACGCATCCTCTACTGAGGACCTGACCTGTAACGCAGGCACATGCCCTGACCAGGAATCGAACCGGCCTCATTTTGGTTTGTTGGATGACACCCAATCCACTGAGCCCCACCAGTCAGGGCAAGTCAATATTTTTAAGTATTTAAAGCATGCCTAGCACACTGTAAATGTTATGTAACAGCTTCACACACACACACACACACACACACACACACACACACACACACGACCTGCATATGTGATAAAGCACAAAAAATCAAGAAAACAATAAACCCCAAATCCAGGAAGGTGGTCACATCTGGGTAGGAAGTAAAACACACAAATAGATGCCAGATTTGGGAATCATCCTTGTGCTGAGTGGGGGGATTCGGAGCTGTCTATGTTATTGTGCTGTACATAATGTACATGTATGTTACCTGTGTGTATATTATGTGTCACAGATTAAATTTCACAAAAAGAATACGGAGGGAAAAGAGAAATTCCTACAGGTCTACAAAGAAGAGGGGACTCCGTGGGAATGTGTGGGAAGTTCCCCTCTAACTGAGGAGGAAGGATTTCACAGAGTGAGATTCAACACGTATCCCAGATACAAGCCCCAGAGGAAGGGGCCTGTCCCTTCCCCTATGTATCAGCTCTGGCCCAGCTCATATGCACAGCCCAGCTCAGATGGCCTAGGTCACATGCACATGGGCCCCTGGACAAAATGGTAGCCCTACACCTCTGTATCCGTCACACATATGACAAGAGGAAGGGAAGAAAGAAGACAAAAGCAGGAAACCACCACAAAAGTGAGGTCCATGAACTCAGAGAGAGAAGACAGGAGCTTCACAAGCTGGGAACTGGGAACATCTAAATATCCAGTCTGAAGGAATTTCCGACTTCCTCCCACCACCACTGTGCATACCAGGGGGAAACTGAGGCCCAAAGAGGGCAAGGGATTGAAACTCAAGCCTTGACACTCCATCCTAAACCCTTCCCACTCTGCCAAGAGGGAGGGAAGTAGTGTGACCTTACCTGTCATTTGCTGACTGGAGTGACAGAGATGGTGAAGGAGTGGGCAGCCAGGAGTCCAGCACCCCAAGAGGGGAAAGCTGGCTGAGGTGCTGCCGCTGTTGCTGTGGTGCCAGCACAGTGTGGTTCTGATGTGTTACCTTAGGCTTCCTCCTTCTATAGTGCTCAGAAGTCACGTGCTTCCTGTATTAGATTCTCCTCTTAACTAAAATTACTTTCAGTTTAGTTCAACCACTTCAGTGATTCTGTGGCACCAAGTGCTTTTACTTTGCTGGGCAGCCACGTCCAGCCAATCTGTCTGCAGAACTTCTTCGCCTTCCCTTACTGAAGCACTGTATTCATTAAGCACCAAACTTCCCAGGCGCCCCTCACCCCAGCCCCTGGCAACGACTGTTCTATTTTCTATTTCTGTGAATCTGACCATTCTGGGGACCTCAAATAAGTGGGATTACGCAGTGTTTGTACTTTTCTGACCAGCTTATTTCACGTAGCACAATCTCCTCAAGGTTCATCCATGTCGTAGCATACGTCAGAATTACCTTTTTAAAAAATCCTCATCCAAAAATATCTTTTTTTATTGATTTTAGAGAGAATGAGAAAGAGAGAAACATCAGTGTCTCCCATATGCCCCCTGACCAGGTATCCAACCTTCAACCTAGGTATGTGCCCTCTCTGGGGAATCAAACACGCAACCTTTTGGTGTATGGGACGACGTTCCAACCAACTGAGTCACTTGGCTAGTGCCTACCTTCCTTTCTAAGGCTGAATAATGTTCCAGTATATGATAGGCAACATCTGCTTACCTACTCATCTATCGATGGACACTTGGGTTGCTTCCTCCTTTTGGCTAATGGAATAACACTGCTATGAACATGGGTGTACAAATATCTCCTTGAGTCCCTGCTTCCAGCCCTTTGGGGTACATAATCAGAGGGCCACATGGTAGTTCTATGTTTCATTTTTTGAGGAACTGCTGTACCATTTTTCCTTCTCTTCAAAAAAAATTTTTTATCGTCACCTGAGGACATTATTTTCATTGCTTTTCAAGAGAGAGGAAGGAGGGGGAGAGGGAGTTGGTGGGGGAGGGTGAGGAGAGAGAGAGAGAAACATTGATGTGATAGAGAAACATTGATTGGCTGCTTTCTTGTACATGCAGGGATCGAATCCAAGACTTTTCAGTCTACTAGACGACACTCCAACCAACTGAGCCACACCAGCCAGGGTTTCTTGTCTCTCTCTATTGATGTGCAGTTTCTGTACTACCAGGGGCCTTTGGTGAATGAGAAAGTTTCAGGGGGAGCCACCTGTTATCCCCTTTGACAACTGCTTTCCTATTTCTTAGCTGGGGAAAGGCCAAATTGCACAGGAAAATATAAATTTCAGTGTGTGAGCAGTTTCCGTCAGATTGCTGTGCCTGACACGCTGATCCTTCATAATTCACTATCTCTGCTCAGGATATAAAGAGGGGGACACATGGAAAGAGACTGTGGATGCGTGAGGCCATGTGGCAGGAGCCCCAACAGTGTCCCCCACAGCTCTCTTGGCATCAGATCCCATAATCACTGGTCAGAGCCAGGTCCACGATAACCTGGTGCTGGTGGGAAGAGAAGGAGGCTGGCGAGAGCTCCCTGTGGGCTCAGCATGTCCGTGGGGACACATGCCTGCATTTGGATGGGGTCACAATGAGGGAAAGAGCTCAGGAAGCAGGACTACCTTTGACTCTCCTAAAATGCTGGCACTCAGTTAAATTTGAATTTCAGATAAATTATTTTTAGTGTCTCAAATATTGCGTATTTCAATAGTTGTGTACAGTGTGTGTATATACGTATGAATGCATATGTAAATATGTATATATATCTGCATATCCTTCTCCAGATGGTATGGGCACAATGCTAAGGACAAGGATGCAGGGTGGAAAAGCAGAAAGGTGGGTGAGAACTCTGGTAGAAACCGGTGGCAGAGGCATAGTCTGGTTTGGGGCGTGTGGGACGGCAGGGGTCAGCAAGCCACATGAGGAGGCAGGAAAGTCACCCACAAACCCACAACCATCTGCCAGAAGGAGGGAAAGGCCAAGGGGGTCGTTTTTCATCTAGAATTACAAACCGTGTTACACTCCACCTGGACCCCAAGCCTGGCAGCAGCCGAGTCGGGAGGTCCCGAAAGCCTAACAGGGCAGGGCATCCTTGACCTAACAGCAGAACTCTCTACACAGCTTTTAGCAGTAGAGGTGGAGCTGGGCCCGCCCCAGAACTCTTCAGGTGTAACCCCCTGCACCTGCTTTAAAAGCCACATGGACAGTTCTGATGCATCATTTGAGCTAAAACCCCCTCTCTCCAACCCCACCTCTTCCCTTTCCCTAGTGTGTGGCTTCTGGGCAGATCACTCGTCCATGTTCGTGCCCTTCTCTTCTCTGCTAAACTCCTGGTGCTTGCCTCTGTGCCCCACCAGTTGCATGCTCAAAACAATGGTTTACTGGACGTACGGTGGAGGCTTGACTTTGAGACCTGTGCTTTACTGCAAACGTTTTCTCAAACGATAGACAGCGTCTGTCAGCATCACTGGAGGGCCCCGCCCCAGGGCTTCTGATTCGGCAGGTCTGGGGTGAGGCCTGATAATTTTCATTCCCAAGAAGTTCCCGGGTGATACGGATGATCCTGGTCCTGGGACCACAGCCTGTTAGACTGCAGTACAGGTAGCTCGGTTCCCACCAGCTCCTGAGTTTCCCCCCATATTCAGGTTAGGGCTTCCCTTGGCTCAAAGTCTCCCATCTGCCCTCTGAAACCTGTTTTACTGGAGAGACACGGACCC